CGAGAAGGATGTGAGAGAGATAATTAGGAATATTCCAGAGAGTAGCTCTCTTGCAAAGCGAGTGTCAAACAACGACGAAAGAGAAGAGTGGGCGAAATGTTGGTAATGACCACGGAAGTTACATCTGCGATCACTGCAAGTGAAGTCTAAGACTTAATGTATTCCTATGTTACGATGTTTGTAGGAGAAAATAATTCTATTATCTTGTTCTTTTAATTTCATAAAGTGAAAGTGAAATTGGAATGCCGCTATTCCAAATTGCCCGCGCAAAATCGAAATGAAATTCGCGATAAAAATGAATTCGTCGTTAGGAGAGGAAAAAAAACGTGACATAGACGAACGACGCATTAAACCATGTTTTCTAATTATAGCCAGCTTTGTGCTCGATCATTTCGTACCCACGTATCTTCGCAGCAATTGCTCAAAGTGATTAACACACGTCACGTGTGAGCCCGCATGAGTACGATAGATTCTCTAGTATGTTCAAATATTTCAGGTATCTCTGTACGTGTCGCAAGAACACCGTCAATGTCCCATAAATAATCGTGTATATTTTCAGCAGCTGTTGCTACGAGCACTACTATCTAGCCAAAGTTTAATAACGAAAGAAAACATTGTTTCGATTTCCTAAAACATAGGCGAGAACAAGGTCTGCGTGCTAGCAGCTGAGAACGAGGAATGCGAGTTCGCGTTTTAGGTGCACCAGAATTAGACGAAAGTGAATTGCTATTATAGATGCGTGTGAAAAGCATACTTTCGTAGCACTGTAGAGTAATTTCAATGATTCGTTTATTCTACGGGGGATATGTCACGTGATACTAAATATAGACGAAATTAAAAAGTCAGAATTTTAACGAATAGTAATTACAATGTACTCTTCCCTTAGATTCGCAGTTCCGATAAAAATAAAAACGTTACACGTTCGCGAGAGTTAATCAAGGCGTGTCGCGTTATAACGAGAGTTCCTCGATTGTTTAACCGTGTTAAAGCAAATTCGTGTTGGAAGAGTGCCGTGTTATAGTGGGGATTCCCGGAATTCTCGAACAGCGTTAGAGCGAAATCGTGCTGCAGAAGTACGACGATTCGGTGTTATACGGCGGTCGACTGTACCCGCGATACTAATAACTCACTCGTGAAGCGTCCACGATGAGTGCTAATATTAAAATTAAATTTAAAACGTCGTAAATTGGAACAACCCGTACGAAGTAAAGCGTCACCGTTCGTTTCAATTTTCTTTGTAGAAAGGAACGCGTAACGCGTCGCTTTGCAGAAGGAGATTTCCACTTGAATACCAACGAAGTGTTAGTCACGTTAAATTAAAAATCATAATGTTCTCTGGAATGTAATCAATTATACGCGGCACGAGACAAGCATGACAAGCAATCTAACAGTTAAGAATATTGTATAAGTGCGTAACGTTGGTAATAATAAAGACTTCGCGGCGATCAATTTACTCTGGTCATTTTCTTAATATTCCGATTGCACCTGCTTTGGAACGACCTCGAAAGTAAACGAAACATCACTTCTCTTGCTCATTTTATTTCTGTGACCGACAAACATCTCTAAGTATCGAGTTTTTCGCTGTTTTAACATAATTCGCGACTCGGTAGCAGAGTGTAAATTTGCCCCGAAGGTTAAGATGACTTTGACGTGTCCGGTCTAATGATTCAAGTCCACGGAGCGAGCGAGTCACGTCGAGATACAGTTGCTCGCGAAAGTATTCCAACGATTACCGTACACATCGTAAACAAATAAAATACCGTAGATCGTTGATTCTTAATTCGAGGGAATGCAAAATTTTTCGTAAATAAAATTCTGCGATGTTTCTCCGCGCGGAGGTCATCGTCGATGCAGATCCCATCGGTAGCTAGGCGCTCGTTGCAGTACACAATTCCGCCTGCATATTGCAAATGCAATTGATTCCCCGCGCGGCTTTCGTGGCAGCTCGACCACAGAGCAGACCAACCGGCGGTTCGTAAATATGATTTCTACGTCGATAAACACAACAGTATATTGTCTGGCGGTCCGAAGTGACCTACTTCTCGTCGGCCTCGAGGAGAGGTCTAGTCGTTACGCCTCCATCTAGCGAAGGTCATCGTTCATCGCGGCAGGTGCAAGGTGTACCGTAGGTATTCCGTCGGATGCTGCACGATCAGCCCCCCAAACGCGGAGTTCTGCCTCTCGAACGGGAATCGCCAGCATTCTCAATGGCCGCGGCATGCAAAGCGATCGATCTCGATTCTTACGTCACGTAGATCCGTGAGTTGGCTGAGAGTTGTGTACGTGTAAGTACGTGATTCGCGTGACAATCGAGCCTGTCTTACTCATTGGCCGCGATGATCTTGGAACCGTGATCTATAGCGAGCAATCGAGCCAAGCGATCCACTCCGTATATAATCATGAATGGCGAATCGTTTCGATCTTCTCTGTTATTTTCCACCATTCGAATACGGCGTTCCTTTCCCTTTTCGCGCTTTTAACGCTGCAACGTTCGCCGATTACGTTTATCGCGATGATTGCAACCGATTTGGAATTTCTACGGTCTCGCGATTTTTCCTTTATTCCAACAATTTTTAATTTCAAGATCTAAATTTACTCCAGGATCTGTCCATGCCTATTGTTCCCTGCGTTCTGCAGCTGGCCCCGTCCGAAAAGAGTTCTCTTCGATCATAGCCACCCCTCGCAAGCACGAAACACCCTCTTTGTACGCCCCATTACTCTCAGCGTCCTTGGAACCCCGACAATGGCAGCTGCCTTGGAATAATTTTCTGCGGGACCGCGACCCGTATCTGGAAGCCAAATAGCTATTCCTCCAAATGGTCCCACAACTTGTACGTTTCATTTTGCAACAGAGCAATTTCTTCGACTTATCAATATATGGATAGCAGCACCTCTAATCGAGGACTGTCCTAATCGCAATGTTAATCGCGAGAATGTTTCGACGGTTGCTCAACGGATTGTTAAACCAAGCCTCGTGCCGCTATCTCTTGGCCTCTAATTCCGCGTACCCTTAATCAGGACCCGACGGGATCGGGCACCGATCAGCGATTAGAAATTAAAAGTGACGAGACAGTGGCGTAACCGTCGCCAATTGCTCGCAAGAATGTAGGCCGGCGGAAGGAAAAAATTGAGGACGATCACGAGGTGCATAGAATACACGAAGAAGTCTTCAGCGCGGTGTGACATCAGCGCGGAAACAATTACTAAACCGACTAAGCAATGTCTGCTCTTTGGGAATCGCAACGACGACGACGATTACGCGATCGCTGCGATCCTGATTCGGGCATCGGAACACGAACGTGGCTGCTCGAGTGAATTCATTCTTCGCCACGGCGATAGCCAGACCAAATTGTTTATATTTTAAAATGGAAGTTCGTGACTCGTATTCAGATTACATTTCAAGAATTTTTGCATCAGCTTTCTAGCAAATGTCCTGTGACTCATATTGTATATGAGGTGACGTGACAATCGACTTGTTAAACGTATTTATCGTATTGCTTCCATCACGACATACAGGGTGTTTTAATGGGAGATTCTAGAGGCCAAAATAAGACGAAAATCAAGAATACCAACTTGTTGATGGAGGCTTCGCCATAAAGTTATTAACAATTAAATTCGAACATTTCAAATCGTTCTGGAAAAATTATTTTCGGTTGCGGGGGTCAATTACAATCATTTTTTATCATTAGAATTACCCCCGAAATCCTACCCATTTTCTAGAAAAAAATTCGAGAAGGTGTGAAATTTTTCGACAGGAAAAAAACATTTCAAATCGTTCTGGAAAAATTATTTTCGGTTGCGGGGGTCAATTACAATAATTTTTGGTGAATACACATACCCCCGAAATCCTATTCATTTTCTAGAAAAAAATTCGAGAAGGTGTGAAATTTTTCGAGGGAAAAAAAAAAATTCAAATCGTTTTGGAAAAATTGTTTTCGGTTGCGGGGGTCAATTATAATAATTTTTGATCATTAGTATTACCCCCGAAATCCTACCTGCTTTCTAGAAAAAAATTCGAGAAGGTGTGAAATTTTTCGACGGAAAAAAAACATTTCAAATCGTTTTGGAAAAATTAGTTTCGGTTGCGGGGGTCAATTACAATCATTTTTGGTGAATACACATACCTCCGAAATCCTATCCATTTTCGAGAAAAAAAATCGAATAGGTGCTGAAATCATTCGTCGAAAAAAAAATTTTTCAAATCGTTCTAAAAAAATTATTTTCTATTGCGGGGGTCAATTACAATCATTTTTGGTGATTGGACATACCCCCGAAATCCTGCGCATTTTCGAGAAAAAAATTCAGAACGGTTGGAACTTCAAACGTTAATAACTTTTTTAACAAAGCCTTCATCAACAAATTGGTATTCTTGATTTTCGTGTTATTTTGACCTTTAGAATCCCCCATTAATGTATAAGTGACAGGATTACAAAAAAAATCAATCTCGAAACGTTAAAGGAAAGAAATTTGGAGTAGATTCAGAAACAAGCGCCAAGGCAAATTTTTAATTATGCAGTCTAAAGTCACAGTTTCGGTGTCGCTGGCTATTTTACGGTTACGGTCTGGCTGTGGACGTGTTAATCGCGGAGTCGTGCGATTACCTCGCCGGACTAATTTACGAGTCAAAATAAAATCGCAAGGGCATCGCTCAAAAACAAGTTTACGATATTTCGCGACTCCGTGCAGGGGAGAACCGCCATTATCTGTGTATGCAGAAGCAGTAATCTGACTTTATTTCGCGTAGTCGACTGCGCAACAGACGTCGTCGCGAACAATAAAGTGCCAGTTATGGATGTCTGCCCAATTATGGGATTAATGTTCGATTGCAAAACCTGGGTGTACACCTGGTGCAATCGAATGCCCCCTGTGGGTCATTCCTCGGAGATTTAAAAAACGATACAATTATAACTAGCACTTTATTCCGTAGATTCTTTGCTTTTCCGAGCAGAAACAGTTTCTTTGAATAAAATAATAATCTTACGGTTTATTTCTGTTTATAGATCGAGAGATAAAGCAGAATGGGATACGGGACGGAGATGGACGGCTGCGGCCGCTGTATGAAGTATTCCCTGTTTTTCGTCAACTTCGTGATCTTTGTAAGCACATCGACTGGCGATAAAATTAATTTTTCAACGATGTTACCACGATAAATCGCTGACCATCACTCTAGTAAAATTTTACTCGTCAAGGATTCCTTGGTTACTTAACGAGTAAGTTAAGTGAATCAGCCGGATGTACACTTTTCCATGGAATAATATTATTGTTCCCTTTGTCGATACGGTCACGCGAGTTACGTGAAAATACTCGCAAAGAATACAGTGACCGTCGCGTCGTTCCGACCTCGTTGCATTTACCCAGTCACGATCATTATTTCCTTATCTATAAATTTGCGATCTTGCAGAAAATTCTTCCACCCTTTCAATTATGCGCCTGATAACTCGTTGGAAAGTTAATTTTTTACACCGCCCAATGTCGCTGGGTATCTCGCGATATTTCAGTCCTCGACTGACGTTACGAATATGTGTCTTCAGTTTGGAGGAGTTGCAATAGTTGGATTGGCGGTATGGGCGCTGTTGGACAAGGTGCCATGGATCGGCGAACTCGTGGGTAACGATTTGCTAACAGGCGCGATCTACGTTCTGCTGGCCGGCGGAGTGATCGTCGCCATGATATCGTTTTTCGGTTGCATCGGAGCGTCGCGAGAAGTCAAGTGCATGCTTCTCACGGTAAATCCCCTGTTCATGCTAGTCGTAATCAACACGGGAATCATTGGGTCGATTAAACGGCGAGGGAATCATTTTTCCAGTACTTTATCATCGTGTTCCTGTTGTTCGTGACGATGCTAATTGGTGGTGTGCTCGCGTACGTGTTCCGTGAGAAATTGGTGAACACGCTCCAGAGGGAAATGTCGAGTTCGATGAGAGTCTACGATAGTCGCAAAGCAGTCAGAGACGCCTGGGACACGACGCAATCCACGGTGAGCACGCCCGGCCAGGAAGTACTTTAATTCGCGTAAAGTATCGCGTGATTATTCCCCTCCCTTGACGCGCGACGATAAAACAATGATGACCGTTGTCTGTCGAATGGTGATCGACGATCGAGAACAATTAATTTTCAACACCTTGCACGATCTTTGCTTAATGTCATTCGTTTGGTTGTAAAAGTCATATCGCGAACAGGCATCATTTGTCCGAAATGACTTCTACTCTGGTGCATGGCATAAAATATTTATTGCGTTACAAAAGCAGTCGAGTCTATCGCGAAATAAATTCCCAAAAAGTGCCTGCAAAGGATGGAAAAGAAGATGACTGCCTCGTTAAAGTTTCAAATAACCGTAGCCAAACGCCCTGTATAAATCAGTGCTAAGTGGGGGTATAAGGTGCAATTAAATTAATTTTTTCTAATCACTTTTAGCTTCACTGCTGCGGCGTAACTGGCTGGAGAGATTGGAGTGGTCTGGGGCTGGACCTGCCGCAGAGTTGCTGTCGCGAGATCCAACCTGGCCAGGTAAAGATTAATTTCGTTAACGAGTCCGTATTCGCGGATGGAATAGTTAGCCGTTCGCAAACTCGTGCATACTGGATTGCAGCAATTAGTAACCCACCGCGCCACTCATCGGGAATATATACGTTCTAACATAATTATCCTACCGAAGTCTAATTACATTCCGAGAGAGTGAAATTAATATTTCACCGCAGAAATAATTGCCTCTGATTTATGACTGCCGCTTTTACTATCTATCGCTCATCGTGGCGAGCATGCGTTTAAAAGAAATATTCATGAACCGAATTTCTAGCTCGTAAATCCTACGAGTGCATCGTTTAAATGTTGTTGTGAAATCTCGAACGAACAGTCACGTTTTTCTATAGATGATATTAATAGTTAATGAAGTAATTCAGAAAAGAACGCGGCTTAACGACTTTACTCACGGTACATACATATTGCATTTTTTTTTTCCACCAATTAGAGTTAAATCGATCATTTGAAAGTATGATCAGTTTAAAAATTGCACCGCTAATTTACTGTCTCCGTTATTGATGAATAAATGCATAATACTTTTGTGGACGCGTTTTATGTCATTTTGTTCATTCGTTTGTCATTCGTGTCAAAACGAACAAGCAAAATTATTTTGGAATACATAACTGGAACGAGTAACATCGAAAGTATATTCCGACCTTTCGTCACAGACGAGGTATACGAGTAGACCTTACATCAAATGTATTTTTTCGCTAAAGAATTTTTTTTCTCGAAAATGCGTAGGATTACGGGGATATGTCTATTCACCAAAAATGATTGTAATTGACCCCCGCAATCGAAAATAATTTTTCCAGAACGATTTGAAATTTTTTTTTCGCCGAAAAATTTGTCCATCTACTCGAATTTTTTTCTCGAAAATGCGTAGAATTATGGGGTTATGTCTATTCACCAAAAATGATTGTAATTGACCCCCGCAATCGAAAATAATTTTTCCAGAACGATTTGAAAATTTTTTTTTCGCCGACAAATTTGTCCATCTACTCGAATTTTTTTCTCGAAAATGCGTAGGATTTCGGGGGTGTGTCTATTCACCAAAAATGATTGTAATTGACCCACGCAGTTGAAAATAATTTTTCCAGAACGATTTGAAAGTTTTTTTTTCGCCGAAAAATTTGTCCATCTACTCGAATTTTTTTCTCGAAAATGCGTAGAATTATAGGGGTATGTCTATTCACCAAAAATGATTGTAATTGACTCTCGCAATCGAAAATAATTTTTTCAAAACGATTTGAAAATTTTTTTTTCGCCGAAATATTTGTCCATCTTCTCGAATTTTTTTCTCGAAAATGCGTAGGATTTCGGGGGTGTGTCTATTCACCAAAAATGATCGTAATTGACCCCCGCAATCGAAAATAATTTTTCCAGAACGATTTGAAATTTTTTTTTTCGCCGAAAAATTTAGGCACCTACCCCCTGTCGATTTTTCTTAAAAATTCGTTTCTGATTTTTAATAAATTTGTTAGTACTTTTCTGTAGGTACCTATGAGCTCTACTTCAGAAAAAAGTTTCATTGAAATATGTTCACTATTGTAGGAGTTATAGCCGTTTGAAAATTGGATCACTTCTATGGGGTTTTTCTTACTTTACGGGGTTAAAGAACAACTTTTCGAATATTCTTTGAATGCCTACATATTCTACATTAAAATACGCGTTATTTGCCGTTTGAAACATTAAAATCCTTCAATCCGTTCAGAAGTTATGACGTTTTAAACATACGCATAAAATTTCAGTGAAACTGGTCAACGATATGGTCAGACATGAAATTTTCGGTAATGAATTTTTTTCTCGAAAATGCGTAGGATTTTGACGATATCTCTAATCACCAAAAATGATTGTAATTGTACCACGCAGCCAACAATAATTTTTTTAGAACGATTTGAAATTTTTTTTTTCGCCAAGAAATTCTAGCATCTCAGGTCAGTATGGCAGTCGGATTGGGTCACGAAAGTTCACAAGGTGTAACGTCTACCCGTATACCTCGTCTGTGCTTTTGTATCTGGGGCATTTATTGTCGCCTAAATAGAAGCACCCTCGGTTCCATGTCGAGGTAAAATAGATTTAAAAAAGGGAGCACAGCGGAGAATTGAGAGTAAGCTCTGCTTTCGTATAATTAAGTTTCGGCGAATTTATGGAGCGTCATTAACGCGATACCTGCAGTCGGTTCGGTAGTGCTATCTCGATACCGACAATCGATAATATCGCCGTGGGTGGAACCCGCCACGGATCGATCTCGACTCGAGTCGAGGTTTCGGGTCGAGGCGTTCAAACCGATGCCACGAAATTTCGAAACATCGGCGACCTATCGATTACTGGCAGAAAATCGTCATTTGCAATCTCCCGATCCGGCCTCGGCACTGTTTCGCCTCTCACGCTTTCACCGGGTTCGATCGACTTTCCCAGGCCGAATTGTTTCTCATGCGGCTTCTCATCGATTTGTTGCAGCGATTCAACTGCAACGCCGGACCAGACACCGTGAATCCCTCGAATGCCTATCTCGAAGGTTGCATCAATGGGACGCAAATTTACATGCAAAAGCACGCGTCGATCATGGGCGGCGCCGGCATCGCAGTCGCGTGCCTGATGGTAGGTGAACACTTCCTCTCTATCCATTTGCATTTTCATTGAACTTAACGCCCACCGTAATCCATTAACAAACACTCCTCGAGCATTGCTAATTCTTGGACATTCCTATTTATTGCGATGATTCTGGAATTTATATAACATCCTCTTCTGAGAAGAACATCTCTAACAAGAGGGCACCAACTACTTCAATTTTAACGATCTATACGTAGGATGATGGAATACGTATCTTCAAATTTTCAGAATTGCAAGGGTAGAACACTCATTTGAGTTCGTCCCCAAATCTCTCTACATGACACGTGACTGTCCTGATTTTGTTGCAAGTAGCGAGGCACTACTGACGAGCTAATTTTATTTCGCTTTAAACATATTTTTTTTCATATTGTACGAATTGTATTATGTTTTAAGTGTGATACTGTTTCCAGTTGTTATTTATTCAACGTTTTGTTCGCAGTTCTTCGGGATGATATTCTCCTGCGCGCTCTTCAAGATGATAGAATGACGCGGGGGTCTCGCGATCTAAAAAACACCAGCGTTCTTCGCGACAAGCTAATGAAGAGTAAGCGGATGACAGCCGTTCTCGAGCGACTCGCATGAATTCATAATCAACGTCATCGTCATTGAGTGTACCTATCCGAAGTACCGAGAATCAAAATGCATCTCCACGCGCATCTTCTTTCCCATGTACAGTCCTCATCATTTTGTTACATTTACCATTACTTAATGTATCTTTATTTACCGTTTCTCTCTCTCTCTCCCTCTTTTTTTGTAATGTATAGTAATATGTTAAACCGTTCTCGTTTAATTCTATATTGTACTATATTCTTACGATAACAAATTATGTACCTTGTACGCGTAATAAATACAACGTGTATAAAAGTATCCCGCCGGGGAGGAAAAACGATCCGTGGAGTCCGCCGTTTCAGTTCCAAGGGAGTCCTTTGTCCTTGGAACCTCGTCTGTCTGGGAACAGTCTCTGAATTCTACCTAAATCGATACTTTTTAATACACGACTGGCCATCGTCTCTCCTTCCTCGTTTTCTACATTATTCATCGCTCGGTGATTTTCTACCTTTGAGATACCCTTTACCCGTGTCTAGTAAACGAAATGGCGGACATTCTCTCTCTCTCTTTCTGTACAAAGGTCCTGTGTGGGGACTTTTCCGTTCTCCGTGCCAATCGATCGCTTAACGAATGGAAATCCACCGCGATAACGAGAGGTTTATCGAATTTCAGCGTCTGGCACGAGTGTTTGTACTTCCTCGACAGATATCCAATCGCGCTCTTTAATTTCGTTAGCGGGACGCGAGTGCTTCAGGACTCGTTCCCCGTACGATTACACGCCGAAAATTCTATTCAAACGACCCTTTTGCATTCGACGTAATCCCGCCTGTCCAACGACGAGACAGGCTTGCACGGAACGATTTGTTATCGGTGAACTCTGGGCGGGGCACGATATCAAATTATTGCGTCAAAAAGATCCATTTCTCTTTTAAATCTTCGAGTCATCGACCTTCTCTCCAAACGAGACGCCAGATAATCTTCAAATATAAATTAATGGCTAAATATTTGTCTACTCTATCGGAAGCTACGAAATGTAATGGCGAATAGAAATGAAGGAAGGGACATTACGTTCAAGAATTGCGCTTATTAAAGTCGCGAGTCCAATTATTCGACGGAAATAGAAGCGCGGAATAGCGTTCTTATTACTTGTCCTTTCTTCGTCGTTGTTTCGTGTTTCTCCGGGGATGGGGAAAAAGGCAACAAAAGTCGGGTAACGTGGCCACAATCTTCGGTAATGAGAGGGCGTATATAGCTTTTGTTTCGGAAACAGCCAGCACGTTGCGAGTCTCCGATACAAAGACACGATGGACCAATCCGAGCCGTATAGAGAGAACGCTGCGCGTCGATATTCCAGACGGTCATTGGTGGTACAGTGGAGGCAAGAAATATCCGCTCGAAAAACATTCGAGTGTCTCCTCATTTCGCTCCACGATATCGCAAAATTGCCTATTAAATTCGAATACCAAAATAAAGATTCAAATGGTCGCGGCTGGAGGCAGAGAACGTGAAATCGTAGATTCGTATCTTGATTGTACTATTGTTCGATACCCTAACTTGGGTTTACCGTTTCAAACTGTGCGTGTCTGATAATAACCCTTGCTGTGTGTTTGCCCACAGCTTATTCACCCCTTTGTCGACAGACTACGCGCCTCCTCGCATCGAAGCACGACGGGTTGTCGTAATTCAGGCGCCTCGCCAAAATAAACTTTCGTCGCTCGGCACACGACGTTCAAAAATTTTTTTAAAAAGCCACAGGCGTTTCCAGTCACCTGAGACATGCTTCATAGAATTCTATCAGATTTTTAAAATACAAAAAAAACAATTTTTCATTAAAGAAAATTATCGAATGGCTAAAACGCGAATTGAATTCGCCTCGTTCTTAAACGGTTGCACCCCTTTCGAGCCGGTAGTATCTACGTGTTCAACCATTATTTTTTATCACACGCTTTCAGCTGCTCTTCTGACAAAGTGCTTTTGCTGATCTTACGATACACAGTCGGGACACGTCATATCGCGGTGCGTTAAAAGATTCACGAGGACACGCGTGTAAAGAGCACTGTGCCTGCCAAATTTTCCAACCCCTCGAGGGCAAGCGGTACAGTCGACCAGGAAACTTTGCGCGCCCCGTGCGTCTCGTACAACCCACCCTTAAAATTTCTACGAGCCGTGCTCGGGATCTCGACTCACCCCGTCGCGTTTGATCGAATTTCCCCGCGACTCAGTCCTCGGTTCCTACGCCGTCTTTCTAATTATTCCGTTCGTGGACTGCCCCCGATACACAGCGGGCGTCCGTAATTTTCCAACGGTGTGTCATCGTCGTTCGCGGGGCTCGGCGTCCTTCCTTCCCTTTAGGTTTATTCACCCCAGCGTGCGTCACCCTACGCGCGTCTTTGCGCCGAGGCGTGACTGGCTGCCATTCCAAAGGCGTTCGAACGACTCGTGCGTGCCGGGACGATTTTCCACCATCCATCCTAGACGTTTTCCCCCCTATTTACGAACCTCTCTCCCATTGTTTGCAACAGTTTCTAATCCCGTAATGGCAGTCTGTAAATTCTCGACGGGGAAAACGTCTTTTCGTAAGGACGGACGGGGATAAAACGAATGTAGAGAATTTCAGAGATGCCACGACTGGAAAGCAATACGCCCCGAAGTATTAGCGGGTTCGCCTCCGACAGTAAAGTATGATTTATTGGAAAAGGGAGGGCTGGTGGACCCCAACCCGGTGGAGTTATGTGCTTCGTTCGAGTGGTGGAAAAAAAGCCCGAAGAACATCGGTACGAGCGAGTCGAACAAACTTCGAAATCACGCGCTCGAACGTGCCGAAAATCGGAGCAACGCGACTCGACTGCTTTTTATTCCAACTCTACTTTCACCATGATTTTCTGCAGTTTCGTATCGTCCCGCGTGCCACGCACGATTTCACGCCTTCGATTCAACAAAAAACCGTACTCTTTCCTCTGCAGTCACTACCTCCACGAGTTTACGTCCGTTTATAAATACATACAGTTTAGTTTTAGAACAGACTCTATTTGAAACGCTTTCGACCACGATTGCATCCCCCCTCGGTAAAAGTACGACGCGTGTTTTATTCCAGCGACGGTGCTCGAGTTTAAAGGGTTAAACTACCCTCCGAGTCCGTCCCCCAAGGCCATCTTGAAAACTATAGATACATGGAGGACCCTCTACGTACTGCGATTTTACCGGGACGATCCGTATTTATAAAAATATTGCACACGAATATTTCCTTTTTCGCGACTCGTCCACGGGGTAAAATAAGAATCGCGTGTACGTGGAACGGGCGGTAAAGTGTGAGCCCGCGTCGTAATCCCACGCGTTTGTGCGTGCGCTCATGATACTCGCGCGTTTACTATTCTCCACCGAATAAGCCTATACGCGCCCGTGAGCCGTTCCCGCGCGTTCCCACAAAGGGTTCTCTCGGACAATGACGAATGAATCGCAACACACTACGGGGATAATGCCACTCGTCCCGTGGTCCGATCTCGACGAGTACCCACGTACAGTCTACTTACCTCCATTCTTTTCCGCGACGCTTGCACGCCATCCCACTTCGGGAAAAAACTGAAAGTCGTTTGCCGCGACAAACGATTGAAATTGAAACGTACGATACTCGCGTCCCACCATCGATCGTTTAATTTTAATAATTATTGCGGAGAAATCAAAATCACTACCATAGAACCGCCCTTCCGCATCGCGGACAAAGGAATAGGAATTTTTAATTGGACCTCGACGAGACATTTGCATGTCTGAGTACCATGAAAATTGAATTTCGTAAGCCTTTCGAGGCTTCCGGCTTGCCGCGGTATTTTTCTTCTCTTTATCGGGACATTTTCCGTCCTGCTGACGTTGGGCTCGCGACGACGGAAACGGTGGAAAGGGGAGGAAAAACGGGAGACACCGGGGCTCGGCGAAACACCGAGCAGCCGAGATATCTATCTAGGTATTGATTTCGTCTCGGGCATTAAATCCCGAATAGGCCGGAAACGGTCGGAAGTCGTCCAGGTGAAACCGAGAGAACCGTCTAAGGCAGTTCGGGAGGCGTCTCCGTTGCAAATTAAATTGTTCTCGAAACCCGGGGAGCCGAGCTACCGAGTAGGCCAATGCAATTGCCGCGAGACCGAACTATTATGCAAGCTAATATTGTCGCGTTTGCGTCATGCGACCATTGTTGGCGACGCCGCTGTTCTGCTCTTACTTACGATGGCGATGCGACGAATCGAGGCGGTCTATCGTAATAATGTGAGAATGGGCGGACCAGACAGCTTAAACAGAACTTCACCGTTGACTAATAACGTAAACAGCTCCGGTGTTAAACAAAGAAACGTAATTAAGGACCAACTTCCATTCGCGGTAACAAGAGCGGAACGGTCCTTTGTTACGAGTGCACTTTTGAACAGTTGCTTATTCGCGTTTCATATTTTGGCACCAGACGTTACGTGGCGTAAAAAAGAGCGAATCGGGGTTGCAAACGGATTGCTCAAACGTTACGATAACATTTAATTCGCCGTGGCAGCTCTCGGTCACGGTTTATTCGACGCTTTGATTAATCCGACCAACCGCGCTCGGAATATGTTTTTACGGGACTTGGCAAATATTTGCGTTTCGCCGCGAAAAATGGCGGTCGAATACGCGTTGTAAGGGTGCATCCGAGCCTCCCCTGGAGTCCGACGGTGGTGGATTCCCGGCTCGAATACGAGGAATCTCGCGGGGGCGGAAAGTAGAGCAGCAGAGCGAGCCCCGCGCGCACACAAGCTCGCCGGGAAAACAGGGAGCAAGACCAAGGAACGAGCAAGAGGGTGGGATTAAATGGAAAAGGAAGTAATAACGAGCTGCCTCGAAGACACGGTTGAAACGCTCGCGCGAGCGCGTGACCTCTCTTCTCTTCGACTTCTTTTCGAGACGAAAGGGTGGCCTGCAACCGAGGGTGACTCCCTTGGACGAGTTAAAGGGTTACGCCACCTTTACGACGAAAACAGAATCGAAATTTTTGTTCCGCGTAGGTTACCAGAGAGAATTTCGAATGGGGTGAAAACCACCCTTGAGTAAAGAGTAGGAAGCAAAAACCATGACGCTGCATAGCTTCGTTCGGTGGTTCCCTGGTAATCAATGGATGAATCCCGGAAGCAGGAAATTTGTACGAGGGTGAAATTCGCGGTTGCGGAATTAGAATCGTTCGTGTACGACGAAGGAGCACAAATGCCCTCGATAGAGCTTCGCGAAGCAACGCCAGCGTTTTCGTGCAAAGACGAGTTCGAGGATGCTTAGCTCGAGGAGATAATGAAGAAGGGTAGCAAAATGACACAGTCACGGGGTAGAAACGAAACTGGATTCGAGCTTCCGAAGTCTTCGTGACAGTGCATAAAAGGGACGGGGAGGGAATTAACAATTGCTTCGTGATTGATCTCGTGCGTCGTAACTTAGCGTATCAAGAAAATTCATTTTCCCTGACACTGTTGAAAACCGTGCCGTGAACTCGAGAAGGTGAAAAACCCACTAGCCCTAGGGTACGAGCTGAATCGTGGAACGAAATATCAAAACTGACACGGGCCATAAAGGGTTAAAAAGTGGGCGCAGAAGAGTTAGCGCGACCCTTTGAAGAGACTTACGACCCCTCCTTCATCGAGGAACGATAAATCCTCTTTGGTCGAGGATCGTAACGCGTCGATCTACCCGTTTATCTTCGACAAATAGATGGATGAAAAATTCGGCTAACTGCAACTTTACGAGATCCGTTTAGCGATTCGACGGGCGTCCTGCACGCCTCGCGTATCGTCGGCTCACGCTTCGCGAACAAGTTACCGCACAGGTGAAAAGGCAGAGGAAAAGGGCGGATCGTTTTATAACTGATTACACGATAGACGCCAGATACGCCGGGAGGAAAACATATTTGCGTGGTTTCGCTATCGCGATGCTGTAACCGCGTCAGGACGCCTACAAGAAAGTTATTAAAGTTCAGCGCACACGCTTAGTCTCCAAAACGAGAGACTGCGATGCTGGAAGAAAAAAGAAGAGAAAGCAAATAAGAATTACCCGGTTCGATAAAATGCCGCCGTAAATCTTCGATTGGAAGCAACGGGGGAACAACGATCGGTGGAATCGCTATCGGTTTCGTGACTGGGGACGACGTATAAAAATTGCTCGAGACGATTTAAAAGTGCGCGCCGTAAATAATACCGATGCGCGGCGTGTTATTAGCGGGGTTCGTTTCAAGGCCGGGCTCAACACGGTGAAATATTGCAAAATGTGCACCTTGACTTTTGAAACGCGAACCGTAGGGCTTTTCGACTCGAGCGCAAGAACTTTCAATTGTCGTGTTAAGCAATGCATCGTGTCGATACATGGATTCCACGACGTCCTCGGGAGTTAGGCATTCCTCAAACTTCCGAAGACTTAGGTCTTGGCCCTCGCGAGATCTAGATAATTCAAGAATGGAAGCTTGGCAAACGTGAGAAACTTTGGCGTAGATTATTCTGTTATGAGAAATATTTATACGCTTTCTATGGTGATTTCACCGCTTGATTTAATGTTAAGAAGTGTTCTAAGCATACAGAGTGTTTCTAGAGGCCAAAATAAGACGAAAATTAGCAATATCAATTTGTTGATTTTGGTCTCTAGAATTGTCCATTAAAATTTTTCCTATGGGTGGCTGAACACCGTGTATATTCGTCACTGTAGCTAGGGGAAAGGAACACCAAAAGGTGTTAACCTATCATGGCTTCCATTAGTGAATACTCGCGTTCAACCCCATCGTTGTTTCTGAGTTGTTAGGGACGTATCGTAATACATGTTATTATTATGTTGGAGATATGTTAATCCTTTGTACTCGGCTGTTTCCTCCGAAGGGACATCCAGCAAAGTTTGGATGTACCCTCTAAGGGAGTACAACGATATTATAATAGAATGCAAAGAAAATATTTGCTATCTATTTCGTAAGAAAGTGTGTGTCGAGTTAGTAGTAGGTGGTCGAAGGGTTAGCAAGAGTGTGGAGAATTTAAGGAAGAACCGTGCAGGGTGTACTGCCCCAAAAATACGCCCACGACGAGTAACCCATAGGTGGCATCGATCTCCGAAAGCTCATCGACCGAGACCCGCGCCATGTGAATGGAACCTTAGGTTTCCTGGCAGCACCTGGTTGTGAACGCGCCAGAGAGCCGGGCAGACGGTCTGTTCTGTCAATCCCCACCATCGTCGTAGCTACCGGAGCTCCTCCGTTGCACTACCACACCGACAGCGTCCCCTGCACCGTCGCCACCACCACGACCGCCGCCTCCACCACCATCATCATCGGCCACTACCATGGAAACCGACGAATGCGCATTCTGACTTCAGTTCACCCGTCGGTTTCAACCTGCCAAGTCGTGCAGGTGTCGAGGAACGTTCGTTGTCGCCCGTCCACCGTCGGATACCGCGGATATTCCCCTCCCTCGGGAATCAAAGAGACGAGTTATCGGCGTGATATCGGGCGATCGCGGGACCCGCGAGAACGAACGCGGTCGTTTCGCGGTTTCGTCGTCGCGTAAAAGGGTGCCACGGTTTTTACCACGGCGGGAAAACGGTCGAGTGTTAAAGAGCCGTGCTGCCTTGGGAGGGCTGCGATTTATGGAACCACCCCATGGATAATAACATGTCGACTGCCGCCTTCATGCACCGGTATGGGAAAAAATAAACACACACTTTTAAGATCGATACTCGTACAACGGGCGTGGGGTTTCGGGGGCCTCGCGGGTATCCCGCGTTCCGTGGTTTCTGCTAGTCGATCGCCGAAAAGTTCGCTACCCGAAAACGCTACCCGCGGTGTCGATCGATCGGTTTGTTGCTATGCAGCAGACCCCGGGGTTCGGTTGAACCGTACTCCGGGGAACACCGACGTCGCGGCGCGTGCATCGTGCCCGATCGGCCAAACGGACGCCGGAATAACCGCTGTTTTTGTCGAATGTTTGCTCGCGGAACGGTCGCCGCGCCGGGGCAAAGAAACGCGCCCACTTCCCGTGTGCCGCGAATCGATTTCACGGATTCGAAAAATTTGCCCCTCGAACACGACGCGCGCGAGAGAGAGAGAGAGCTCGTCGCCGGAAACTGTATCGCGGAAAACCAGTCGATGCCGTGTGGACGTATTTTTATCGAGCGACCGACGACGTTTCCACGGGGCGTTGCGCCCGCGACGAATCTTCGAAATCCAACGACGACCATGGGGAAAATTGCACGCTCGTTTCGGGTGGTCGATAAGACCCACCGGCTGGCAAAGTGCGACGCGCGTATGGCTTTTTACGCGCTTATGAAAGAGCTCGTAACAATGAGATTCGTTGCCGCAATACCGACGGTGGCTTCGAAACAATTGGCTTCTAGTACGATTCCATGTACCGCGGTTGTCGGCCCCGTTTCGACGGCCACCGACCATCCTTGACCGTTTCGGAGCCGATTGACGGAACGTACGACGCGTATCCTACGCGTGTCTGGCGATCGTCGATTATTTCCCACCCAAGGAATTTCGTCCACGTATTTTCGAAACCTTAAACTCGCGTTTTGAATTAATTTTCGAACGATAGAATTTGTTTCGAGTGCGACTGTTCGAACATTGTCGGAGGAAACATGAAATTTTGAACGTTCTGGAACGTTTCCTCGGACGAGGACGCGTGCCAGTAATTCCGAGACTCTTTCTAGACGGCATTCTATTAACCTGCATTTTCACGAGCGCGTCACCTGTTCAGTTCCCCCCAGAACGACACGATGTCGAATCAGACCAGCCCGCTTTCCTTGAACCTGCGGATACCGCAGCCATTGACCGCAGCTCCGCTCCGTAACGAAAGGACCTAAGTGCAGTCATTCTCTATTCCTCTCTTCTCTGTCTCTCTTCCACTCTGTTCGTACCTCTCGCTCTACCTGGGCTGTGTCTCTTCGTGCCTATCTTCACCGCTGGTGTCCCTGTCTCATTTGAATATCAGAATGACGCACTCGATTTATCGAAGGCCACGAAAAATTATTACTAGCAACGCCCGAGAAACCCGTATGTTTCGAGACTATCGGTTACCCTTATTACCGGAGTCTCTCACAGATAATGTCGTGGTTTATTGCAGTCTCCTTTTTACCAGGAATTCCTATTATTCACGATACTCTCTAAGAACCTTGTTTTTAGTGCTCCGATTGCAACCATCGCGCATTTTAAACACGCTTACCCACCGATAACCAACATTTCACTGCAACGATGGTTTTTCGTGTTTGAAATTTTTAAGCCAATATGGCGGGGAGAGAGATAGATACGTATAAACGTATAAGCGAGGTCACGTCGAGGACCCATCATATTCTATAAAACGACTAAAATAGAAACTTGATCTTTGACTCGGAATCGAAATAGTCACAAGTCTCTTACGTAAGCCCGAATTATTACCATCTTGGATTCTTTTCATCGCGCGTCTAGTGTCTTTTCAAATTTTCATTGTTTCTTTCTATGTAAATTCAAATTCAAATAGCGTTCGTAAACGAATGTTTTAAATATTAGGACGGAAGCACACAACAACGACCAATGAATAATAAACGGTGATATAACATTGTAAACGCGAAACAGTTCGCGAAGCAGCAAACTTCGATGAATGGTAAAAGGCCAACTTTGTTCCGCGATCGCACAATACACAGCATGTAGCAATAAAGAGCCCCGACAAAATTCGAACAATTGGGCTACGGAACTTCTTCCTCGTCCGCCTTATTCACCGGTGTGCTATCTACGTAGAAGTTCTCAGCAACTTAAACAAAAGTTACACGTCGAACCGTCCGCGGGAGAAAAATTTGAAGCTAACTTCGAACAAAATTTCAATAATTGGACCACGAACTTCCGTCGAACCGCGCTCTGGCGGATCGCCGTTTAAAAAGTTTCGACGACTCCCGGAAAAGGGATCAACCAAGGTACCCCAAAAATAGATTTTTTGATCGGGAATCACGTAGGCGGAATCATACTTTCACTAATGAAAGTTGCACGCTCGGATAACACGGATCCGTAAGAATCGCTGCGATTCGCGACGCCTAACGAAGAGAAGAATTGCAACACGTATTAGTAGCCTCTGCAGACTGCGAACTTCTTTGCCCGCGAGCCAAGAGAACACGCCCTCGTCGGCTCGCCTCGGATCGCGTGCATTTCCAGACGCCCCGGAACCTCCGTTGCAGCGTACGTTATTTCGTCTTCTGGTTATTTGTACGCGAGTCGATCGAACGACGAAAGTTTGATTCTACAAAAATGTCGATGCGCATCGAATATCGTAAATAGCATCGATATCGACTCCCATCGGTCGGGTACACGCACCGGCGAGTAGTATTTTATCAATAGCACGCGCGCGGAACGCTCGTTCCTTGGTTCCGGCCGACAACCGGCCGCTTAGTCATTCCGCATTAATTCCAGCCGCGTTACCCTCCTATCTTTGACCCCTTCGCGGGCGTATACGCAAAGTGCATCCCCGTGTTAGGAACGGCCCTCGTGTCGCGTACCGGTTGCGTGCCGCGTTTAAAAGCGAAACGCGGAATCGATACATCAGGCCAGGATACGCTCGCGTCCGGCTCGCCGGGATGCTATCCGATTACGATCCTGACCGGCGATCGGAAAAATTTTCGCCGCGGCCAGCCTTCCCCGATCATTTCGTATTACACTCGGGACGAGCGAAGGTTGCGATCATAATTCACGATAGGAGCCGTGCAACGATATTTCCGAGGATACCGACGGATGCGCGTATAATGGAACTATAGCGAGAAGGGAGGGAACAGTCCCGGATTAAGGGGAATGCGGTACCACCAGTAAGTAGAATGTGGACAACGTCGTGCAATTTCGCCTTACGAAGGCTGACTCGTAACGTCTGACCCAATACGACTCGCGCGGAAGGACTTTTTCACTCCACTTAACGATTACTCCCGGCTTTCTCTCGTTCGCGATCTATATTTGTAAACTGCTACGATTTTCGTTCGCTGACGGTCGAAATTTCAAACCGATACGAGGGGGGTCTCTTGTTCGATTTACGAAACCTGATAGAATTCTGTTCCTTTGATTTTCGTTTGGAGGAAAAATTAAGACGCTGGTTGGGTCTCGATTGAGTCTTGAAAACGGTGCTCATGTATGATTCATTAGCCGGGGATGTCGGATATAGGACGCGAACGAGCCACGGAACGAGCCGTGCCCGCTTGAAATCTATTGTCGTCGAAAAGGTAACTGTTTCTCCAGATGGTCGGTGCCGGGGAATACACTTTTCCCCGGTGTACAATGCATACCTTGGGGTCTCGGGCATTTCGCGTCAGCTGTCGGCGTACACAGAATTCGAGGCGACACACGATCGCTAGGCGGCGATACGCGCTGGAAGGCGCGAACGAAAGTCGATAAATTCCACGTAATCGCGTTTTCTATAGGTGTTCGCGCCGCCTGGTATCGGCCATCTACTTTTTCGCCGGTTCGACTGGAATACCAGCGACCGGCGAGAAACGTATCGACGGGCTCGATCGCGCCTAAAGCTGCCACTGTTGCTCGTTCCATCGCCAGGCGAAGAAGACGTGAAACATACGACGGGGCCCTGCGCGTATTAGGTTGTCCCATAAGTCCCCTCCCGTAATTCGCACCCACGACTTTTACGGACTTCTGGAGAAACACGCGACGGAGACCTGACTTTTCTTCAAGTTGGATGATCTCCTAGGGCGAAGCATGAAAACTAGAGGAAACCATTGATGAGATTCGTGACGATTCGAACTATCGAGAGTTCATCGTTTGATTAATCTTGGGTTCCTCAAAGTTCGATCGAGTGTCTGTTGAATTTAAGGGAACCTTTTGGGAAGGAATTAGTCACCGGTGACGAAACTTGGACTTTTTGTAGCAACGTGGAACGCAAAGGTCGAGTCGACAGAGGGCCCTTTACCTGTTGCTTCGTTCGAAAAAAGGTCTGCTGTCCATCTGGCGGCGTTGGAAGGGTGTCCACCAAACGAAACTATCAATTTAGAAGCGAAGGCAGTCGCTAGAAGACACTCGTCGGTGTTTTCATCGTGATAACGCCACATGTTTCTCTGCTCGAAAGAAGCTACGAGGGTTGATCGACGACTTAGGTTCCCAACAACGCCATTGTACGCCATTGTAAACTCAAGAGTTTATTTCAACGTGCAAAGTTTCAGTTTCCTGTGTAGCTTCGTAACAATTAAAAGACAAACCTTCGACTCTTTACCTGATACAATATTTCTTGCTTTAACCATAACCATCCTACGACGTGACTAGTTTATAAATTTATTTTTATAAATTTTATTAAATACCCTACAGTTACTCGAACTTACGGGACCCAGAGTGAAGCATATATTATTGCACTCGGTTCCTTTAGGACGGTAAGGAAAGGTGAAAGTAATTTTCCATCGTCGGAGACTGTCAGTTGAATAGCATAACTGTGCGTTGTTGATGATACCCATTGAACTTTTCCTTCTATTGTTTTCGTTCCTTCTATTGCTAATGATCTTCCGCGGTGTATTTTAAGATTGAAGCCACTTTGATCCTAGTCGAACGCATTAGCAGGCCTGTTCCGTACAATACACTGCCTCGTTTAAACTAAAAATGTACCGTAACGAGACCTTAAATCTTCTACTCGTATAAGTACTCCTGTTAATGGATCTTCCGACTTTCATTCGCTCGTGATATCTAGCCGTAC